AAGACCCGAAAAGTGGAGTTTAAAAGAGTGGGAGAAAAAAATCCCAAGCCCATCATAGTATCCTAGGGAAGAAACTTACAGAATTTTGTTCAACAGAGGCAGAAACTGTGGAGTTCACAGAAAACAAGGATTCAGATGTATCTATCAGTTTTAGTAAGTCACATTGCTAAGACCTATTTCTCTGAGCCTCTGGGTATCGCAACTCCATCTTAATGGCTTGAAGAAATAAATAATTGAAGCAAATGTGGCAAGTGAAGGTGACATCACAGGAATCTTGGGTAGGAAGGAGAGGACAGATTAATGTACACCTCTCTGGGAGTGTGGAGTCAAGCCAGCTGTTCCAAATGGCACCAGAGAGTGCGGGTCCAGGTTAACAGAAGTACAGCCAACCAAGGGGGAAGAGGTTGAAGATACGAGATGGAAAGCGGATGTGAATGCAGACAGGTTAGTGGCTGCAGATAGACAACCGTAGTTGGAGAAGTCACCAGGAGAGGCTACTTCATCCTCAGATGACAGAAACAAAACAAGAAGGAGTCTCTAAACCAGAGCAGAGAGGCTGGGTGACCGCCCAGTTGGCATAGCACTGAACCCGAAAGCACAAGGACCGGAGTTTGAGGCAAGAAACTTGCACTGAAAAACAAAGAGAAAAATATAACTAATTCCAGCACTGGTTCATGGAGACAGGAGCCTCACTGGCCAGCCAGCCCCACCTACTTCATGAGCTCTGGGCCAGTGAGAGATCCTGCCTCAGACAACAACAAGGTGGGTGGATAGTGTCAGAGGAAGTCCATCGGATGTCCTCTGACACACAAACGCTTGCCTACACACACACACACACACACACACACACACACACACACACACACACACATAGCGGGATGAGATAATTCCCTCGGTCACTCCTGTCTGAGGCAGAAAATTAGTTCTGTCATGTCTTCGTAGTTTGTCTATTCACGTGACTATTCATCTAGACTCCATCTCCTGTGCATGAGGCTCTACTCCTTACCAGGCTCTGTGACCCAGCCGACCTGCCAATGCCATTCTATCCTCAGGTTGAAATCAGTCATTCTCTGATCATTATTTCTATTTTCCTCATAAAAATTCCAGGTTGTGGTCTTTTCCTGGTGTTTAAAGAGGCTGAATGAAGCAATGCATGAAGGAATGTTCACTTAGAGCTCTTTTGTCAACATTTGACAATTTATTATTTAACTAACATGTGCATTGTACCATGCGGGTCCACGGTGAATCACAAAAAATTATGTGGCACTCATAGAGCTTGCTGCCTGGCTGGGAATATGAGAGGAAGACAGGTGTTGTCACACCAAATGCCAAAATCCTAAGATTGGATCCTGGAGAGAGGAGCCTGGAGCTGGTGTCCTAAAGAGGGCTATTGGCCGGACGTCTGAGTACTCTGGTCAGTCAGAGATTACTGTGACCATCTGGACTACGGTTTTATGAGTGAGAAACCCAGAACATTCCTGTCAGAATCTTCTATACATTATACGAATTTATGAATAAATGAACTTATGAGTAGATATTTTCTTACATCTTGTAAAGAATATTCACTGCCATCCATCTTTGAACTTCTGTTTCCCAGAAAGTGTCAGCCTTCAGTAAGCAGTTGACCGGTGCTATGGGGTTTTGTAAATAGTGACATTAGTTTGCAGATGTTCTAATTCCAGCCTCTTTTTTCCCAGCACCAGTACTTTCTTGGGGGGAAAACCATAACTTCTCGTCTGACTGTAACAAGTACTTAAGGCAAGGCACTTGACCTTCGGGTGGCAGGAGCTATTTTCAGCTCAAGAGGCTAGTTCCTCCTCTTGGTCCTGGTTCACTGCCCTGAAGCCTGTGTGGACTGGGTTTCAGTGACTGTCAGTAGTTCAGGGCTTTACTTAGGACCCCAGAACCAGAGACAGCTAACAGAGATGTCAACAGTTGCCACTTTCTGCTCTTTGTCTCTCTTGCAAAGGCCAGTAACAACAGATTCCTAGCAGAGAACACCCATCTTCTGTTGGAACTCTCTCTCTCTCTCTCTGTCTCTCTCTGTCTCTCTCTGTCTCTGTCTCTCTCTCTGTCTCTGTCTCTGTCTCTCTCTCTCTCTCCCTCTGTGTGTGTGTGTGTGTGTGTGTGTGTGTGTGTGTGTGTGTGAGTGTGGAGGCCAGTGGTCAACATCAAGCATCTCCCTTGATCATTCTCCATCTTAGGCTGTTGAGACAGTCTTCCACTGAACTAGAGCTCACCAATTGGCTAGACTAGCTGATGAGTCTCAGGGATCTTCTCGTCTTGGCCATCTTTCTCACCATTGTTGGGGTCACAGATACTACTAGTGACTGTATCTGGTTTCTATGTGGGAGCTGGGGATCTGCACTCAGGTCCTCATACTTGCAAGGCAGTCAGTTTACAAAAGGAGCCCTCTCCACAGCCTCACACTTTTGCAATTCATTAGAGGGAAAGGGATCTATCGCTTTAACACATTCTCATATTGGTGACTAGAAAGATAAAGTCAGGAGATGCTGTTACGGGAACTGATTGATGTCTTGAGGACCTACAGTGAAGCAGTTACTAGCAAAAATCAAAATATCGGATCTAGAGAGATGTCTCAGTGTTTAAAAGCACTTGTTGCTCTTCTAGAGAAGGCAATTTGGTTCCCAGCACCCACCTCAGATGGCTCACAATGGCTTGTGACTCTAGCTCCAGGGTATCCCATGCCCTCTGCTGGCCTCCATAGGCAACTGCACACATATAGAATATACTCATACATATAGAAACATTTTTTAAAAAATGAACTATTATTGGTTACTGTTACTGTATGTCTGTCTAATGAGGAGTCTTACTTTTTCTTTTTTTCCATTTTTAAATTAGATGCTAAGAATTGAACCCAGGGGCTTATGCAGACAGAGGAGTACTCAATACACAACAGCTAAACTACATACCCAGCCCCTTGTGTCTCTCTGAAGAAGTGAAGATGGGGGCAGTGATGTGTGGAGGCAGCAACAGAGTCAGTCTGCCTCATGACTTAAGTAAGCTTGGTCACCGAGAGCCTGGACCTACAAGGGCCTGTTTGAAAGCTAGACTATCACTCACCATGGGCTGTAGGGGAATTCATTATTTAACACAGACAGTAGACGGTGTCTGTCAGAAGTAATACATGGAGACTAGAAGGCTGGAAAAATAATTTTATGTATTAATAGAAAAACAAAAGAGGAGCTTTGAGAAACACTGAGCAAATAATTGGGAGATTAACACTGTTTAAAAAATGCTAGAAGGGTGTAGGGTTTAGAGGCATTACTGAGATTCAGAGAGCATGGGGGTGGCACAGTGAGATGCTTACTTTGAGTTTTAAAAGACAGGCTGGGTTTGTTGAAAGGCCCTTGGTTGTTTCTCTGGCCCTATCCTGTGCTGGCTAGTTCCTCTCTCTCAGTATTTCATCCTATTTGTATGTCAATCACTCTGGAGAGTGGACCAGTTTCCCACCAGCCAGGCTCCTTCCTGCCTCCTGTCCTGCCCAGGCTGCCATTCTGCCTGGAGGACCTACTTGGCTTTGAAGCTCAAACTCCTGCCCACCGACTCTTTAGAGATAACTTATTACTACTTCCTTCTATTAGAACTGCTGTTTGCTCATAATCACGATGCTTGCTAATAAATAGGACCATACAGTAACAATGTATCAAGCACAGATTTGCTAACGTCTTTATGTGAATCACTTCATTTGGTTTTTCCAGCACACAAGGAAACATCCAGGCTCCCTCTACAGATGAACTGAAAAGACAAGGAGTGGCAGCCTCTAGATCTAAACCCAGGTTGGTCTGACAGAGTCTAAATCCTTGAACATTCTCCAGCCTGCCTCCTAGAGAAGCATGGTGGTGTTTATTTCTCACAGGTGGCCCTGAGGATGCAAAGACGGTGAGATGGAATGTCTGGAATGTGTTAAGCACCCACAGCCTGGTGCAGGAAGGTAGATACACTCAAGGGAGATACTCCAGGCGCCTCCCTCCTCCCTCATTTTAAGGTATCAGCCAAGGAAAAAGCCCAGGACAGAACAGATGCCTTCCTTCTTTCCTTCTGTGGTCCCCACACAGCAGTGTCATGCCCGCCCCCGTGTGTGTGTGTGTGTGTGTGTGTGTGTGTGTGTGTGTGTGTGTGTGTGTGAAGTGTATGGCAGTGAGGGAGTGTTGGGGTTAGCTAAGAGCTACCTGGTATCTCTTTCTCTTACACAGCAGCAGCAATGGGATATTGGACTAGGGTCCTTTTGTGGCCTTATTTAACTTGCAGTATCTTCTCAAAAACTCAGGCTCTAGATTTAATCATGAGGTCTGTGGTCTCAAAACATGAAGTTGGGAGGGGCTTAGTTCAGTATGCGGGAGGCATGATGGGAAACAAGAATCCAAGGAGCTGGTCCACGGGCTTTAGCACCAGAATCTCCATCTCTAGACCCCTCCTGTGTGGACAACTGAGGTCTTTCTGGAGCCCACAGATGTGCCCCAGGGACGACTCCATCCTCCCGTGGTGGAGAGCAAAGCCCGGTCTCCAGGCCCGTCAATCCTAATCTGCTGTGCACTTACCCAGCCCTAGTTAAGGCTATCACATATTAATGGAGACATTGTATATAAACACCCTTAACAAATTTCTGTCTCTCTAGAAAGTTCCTTGGGGCAACCCCCCCCCCAAACAAAACAAAGCAAAACAAAACAAAAAAACTGTTGAAGAATTCCCAACAGCCACTACTCAGTCTGTGGCTCATTGAGGCTTTCTTGGTAACTTGATGTTTTGCTCAACTGCTCAAAACTCCGGTCAAACAGGCACGTTCCCTCTAAATCTGAATCTGAGCAATAGGCAGGGTATGTGGAGCAGGAGAAGCAAGCCAGCCCAGAGTTCTGGTTCCGGGAGTGTGGGATGTATCTGTATTACTAATCAGGCTTTTGTCCTGATTAGTAATAAATGAGACCATGAGGATGGAGTGAGGACAATGCCTGAGGAAGGGGGACTTGAATAGGCTCAGGCGGGCAGGGGCTCATTCATGGTCATTGGAGGACCAGGGCTGGATTACCCTGGGGGAGGGGGATTGCTACAGGAGGTAAGGAAGACACAGGTGATGACCTCCCAGGTGTGGGGAATTCCTTAGAATTGAGTGGAGATGCAGAGCAAGCCGTCGATCAGAGAGACCCCTGTAGACTGGAGGGCAGCATCCTAAACTCTGTTTAGGATGGAAGAGATCCTTCTGCAGCCTCTGGGGTAGAGTTTGAGACAAGCATGGAAATGAAAGGCCAATGGCTGTGCCTGGAAACAAAACAACTTCCGAGGGACTGTGGAAGGAGACCTGGGGGTGGCAGGCACAGTAGGCGTTCTCCTGGGATCCACTCTGGACAGCCTTACCCAGTGGCTCCCAAACTGGCAGGCTCATGGATGCCTCTGAAGGTGAAGCTGTGGGTGGTGTGCTAGACCAGCAGCCTAGCCAGTGGAGATCTTTTTCTTGTGACCAAATTTGAACAAATGCTATCATTAAAGATGAGGTGTGTGTTCCCCTTTAAAAAAATGTACTTATTTGTAATCATACATACAATACATTTATCATAGAAAAACTGAGAACATACAGGAAAATGACCTTTGAAAAATTAAAAACATCATCCTCATTTCAAACGTACTTGACATCACAGATTAACAAAGACACTGTTAGAACTTTGAGATGTTTCTCCCAGTCATTTTTTGTAAGTACATTTTTGGTGCATGTTTACATCCGTTCCTAGACATACAGCATTCATGTATTTAAGCCATGTTATCCTTGCTTTTACACAGGAGGGCAAAAAAAACTAGGTGTGATATTAATAACTAACTTATATTTTACTGGATTTCCCCTCCATCTGGAATTACAGGGCCTCTGTCCCCACCAGCTTACAAAGGCCTCCCAAATTCTTCTCAGATGTCCTAAGAGGTTTTTAAATAACTCAAGAGCTATGACTCTGTTTTCTGTACTTTTGAAACTGTGGCCTTGACACGGATGTGTACAATGGAGGCCTCTGTGTGTGTCCCCAGTGCTGCCAAGACACACCGTGAAACTGTATCTTCTGGCCACAGTTTTAAGTCTTACAGCTGCTTGGAACCCTTGCACCTCGGGTACTTTGGAGCCTTTCTCCAGATACAGAACCATATACAGTTGCTCCTAGCCAGGCTGGGGAGTCATGCTTTGGAATGCACAAAGCCAGCTTTAGGTCTTGTGGAAGGTGTTTTGTAGAGCTCTGGCGGATGAGCTTGAATGATAGATCCCATCAGTCCTTTCCAGCCTATGCCTGCTGCCTCCCACCCCATTAACAGTTGGACCCTACACTTTGACCATGGGATAGTCTCAGTGACCTCTTACTAACACAATGCATCCAGATGTCCATTTTACGACTTCCAAGATTTAGTTCTGAGAAGGCTCTCCCTTTCTCTCTGGTCTTCTGGGGGCTCCTTCCTGGCCCATTTCTTCTCAGAATCAGCCATCACACTATGAGGCTATGAGAAACCTTCTAGAAAATCTTTGTGGAGGGACTCCTGTTGATAATCCCTTCTGAGGGGACAGTTGGCATCAACTTCCAACCACATTGAGTGTGCCATCTTAGATCAGCAGACAGCAATAGAAGACTCCAGGTTGGGGCTGGAGAGATGGCTCAGCAGCTAAGAACACTGGCTGCTCTTCTGAGGATCCAGGTTCAATTCCCAGCAACCACATGGCAGTTCACACTTGTCTGTAACTAAAGATCAGACACCCTCACACAAACATACATGCAGGCAAAACACCAATGAACATAATTATATTAAAAAAAGACTCCAGGTCAAATAGTCACATGACTAATCACATGAAAGCCCAGATGAGAAATGCCCCCCTTACCCTAGTGAGCTCACAGAACCACGAGTGAAAGGAATAAACTGGTCTTTGCAGACACTACATGTCAGAATGTCAGGGTGGTTTGATATAGAGAAACAGGCAACCTCTTTTTTCTTTTTCTTTTTCTTGGCTGGACTGTTCTGAGCCTCTCTTGAGCTAGACAGCTCTCCAGAACAGCCCCACCCTGCCTGCTTCAGAGACTCCATATCTGGGGTCTTTCCTCCAGATGACGAGTCTCCATACCCCTCAGGTGATTCCTTTTATCCATCTCAGCATTCCTCTTGGCGTTCCTAGACCTTGCTTACTCCCAAGGGTAAAGACAGGGGAAGCCCAGCTGGGAAGTCTGGAGGTGAAATGAGGCACTTGTACGAACAGTGATACTCACTTACTAAATTATTTTTACATTTAGAGTCATACCACGATAGAATTTTCATGCCACTAAAAATTATATCGTTTAAATTTAGGTGATGGTAGAATTTCCATCATTTAAATTTACACTCACTTGCTAGTTTTTGGACAATTTCCCCCTCTTGTTTTTTTTTCTCCCCCACCTTAAATTTTAAAAAATAAATTAATTAATTAAGAGGACATAAGTATCTTTGCTCATAAATTTTTATTGTGGTTCTTTTGGAAATACTCAGCTCCTCTGTGGATGGTGTGACATGTTCAAAAGTCACTTCATACATAATATGTCTTTTTAGAAAAAGTCTACCAAATCACCACCGGTCAACTTGCTAGCAAAGATGATCTCACCATGACTCTAATTTGCATTTCTATGATTTTTAGTTGTGTTGGTTAAAGAATATTTTTCTTCATTTTACATTTTTAAGGCAATCCTTCTTGCTTTTAACTTACCCATCATTAGTTATCTATTATATGCCAAGAAATCAAGTTGGCAGGTGGAAACGAGGGGTTTGGTATGTATTCCCATGGGCTTTGTAAGAGGACCACATGGCCAGAGGCCCAGATGGCACCAGCAGGGCCCCCGGCCTGGGGCAGCCTGAACATGCTCTTTGTCTCTCAGGAAGACCCTTAGTGCATTGGACATAGTACTATATGACCTTGTAGAAAGACAATGTTCTCCCCCTTGGGTGCATCTTCTTTCAAAATAAACACGTGCATCTTACACATCACATCCTCCAATATCACAGAATCCTGTCCTACCTCATCAGCTTTTGGGCATGTTTTCCCCACCCATGGTATTGCCACTGTCTTACTTCATTGAGCTTCTGTCATTCCTGAGTTCTTCTAATGACCCACCCCTGAGCTGGTGTCCCTCCAATCCATTTACCAGCATTCAATACCTCTGACCAACTTTCTGGAGGAAATACGAATGTGGTGGTTTGAATAGGTGTGGCCTCCATATACTCATGTGTTTGAATGCTTGGCCCATTGGGAGTGGCACTATTAGAAGGTATGGCCTTGTTGGAGTAGGTGTGGCTTTGTTGGAGGAAGTGTGTCACTGTGGAGGCAGGCTTTGAGGTCTCATATATGCTCAAGCTATGTCCAGTGTGGGACATAGTTCACTTCCTGTTGCCTGCTGATCAAGATATAGAATTCTTATTTCCTTCTCCAGCACCATGTCAGCCTGCATGTTGCCATGCTTCTCCCCATGATGATAATGACTAAACCTCTGAACTGTAAGCCAAGCCCAATTAAATGTTTTCCTTTATAAAAGTTGCATGGCCATGGTGTCTCTTCACAGCAATAGAAACTCTAAGACAAAGATCATGCCACTATTGTACTTAAAATCTTTACTGTGATTATTCAAGTGATTTTGCTGTGGTTCATCCTAGCCTTCCAATTCTTCTTTCATCTCTTGTGTCTTCTCAGTCTGTCTTCTAGACACAAAGAATGGACTGGAGTTTCTGACACAGCCTGCCTTTTGAGAGCCATACTATTCCTTCATTGAGATAGATCCCTTCCCATCCTCTCTCCATAAAGCTGATTTCTAAAGTGGACACTTGACCCAAGCAGCCTTTCCTAATTCCCTAGGCTGGACCAGTTTCTTCTCCAATCTTCTATCACAGCACATGGCCAAGA